TTTAACGTTGCGATTTTCTAAATCGCGTTGCGATTCTCTCAATTGCATTGCGATTCTATCAGTCGCATTGCGATTCTCTCAGTCGCATTGCGATTTTCTTCTAAATCGCGTTGCGACTCTCTCAATCGCATTGCGATTCTATAAATCGCATTGCGATTCAATCAATCGCATTGCGATTTTCTTCTAAATCGCGTTGCGAACTTGGAAGCTCGCGTTGCGATTTTCTTATGACCGTTGCGATTTTCTTTTTAACGTTGCGATTTTGATATCGCGTTGCGATTTTATTGGTCATTTTGGCAAATCCAAAAAAAGTTGATTAAAATCGTATATTATAAGGTATTTTTGGTCACTGAGGCGATTTTCTCTAAAATAAATTTGGGGGATCTTCAAAAGGAAAAGAGAAGTCAGAAGTGGTCCCAATGATGACTGGGTGCTTACGTGGAAAACCCTAAATCCTAATCTAAGGCAACTGCACGAGCACTGGTACTGTGGTAGAATGAGTAGATTCAGACAGAGACCGATAGACATCACATGGATATACATTTTATTAATAATGTTAGAATAATTTGAAAGACGTAAATCTAAATAAATATTTTTTATTTTAAAAGTTTTCTCATTTACAGTGTAAAAAACACATTCGTAAAACATTAAATAATTAAGTGAATTTCTTATTTAAAAGAAAAATAATTCAAAAATAAGTACTTATATTATTTTTATATAAGTATTTAAAGTATTTAATTTATGGGAGTCTTAGGTCTCCCTCACTCTTAAACTGTATAAATACCTCGAAATTGATACACTGTCCATAATGTAACTCCCACCTCTTTCTCTCGTTCCCAGAAAAGAAAAGGAAAAAAGAATCAACTTCTCCCTCTTTCTCTCTTAGTAGCCCATTAAATCAGGTAATTTTATCCAATAATCCCCAGTTTTCTTTTTTATGCATTAACTGATTTCAATTCAATGTTAAATTGATTTTTGTTATTATTGTTTTTTTATTTCGGTGTTTTTAGTTCTTTCCGAAGGTGTTAGATTTACTTTTCATCGATGATTTTCAAGGGAGTAGACAGATTTTAGCTTCACATTATTGGAGTAGTATGCTATAATTGGGAGCTAAAACCTGTTCATTTCTTGGTAACTTTCACTTGAAATGGTGTTAGAGTGTTGCTCTATTTTGTTGTATGAGAGATTGATTCACGTGGTAATACCAAACAAAAATAGCGGTGCTTGTTTTTTAGTGTTGGTGATTGATTGGAATTCCTTGAAAATATGATTTGTTGTGCTTGTTTGTAGCACTCAGTTCAGTTGAGTGTGATTGATAATGTGGAAAAACGAAGAAGAAAGAAAGGAACTTTACTCGACTTTTTCCCACCATGGTCCTGCTTCTAAAGGAATGTTCTGTAATGGGATTGGAATGTGCATGATTTTATTTTGTCTTTTGTTTGTTCAACTTGATTGAAGTTGACTTCGAATGGGTAAAATCGAAAAAGAGGGGACAACTTTTGATTTTATAATAAGCAGAGAACTTTGCTTCCCTGTGATGTGAAGGGAATTGCTGCATCCATGATTCTGATTCTATCAAGACGGCTTCCATGTTGGATTTAGCTTCTATCTTATTGTTATGATCCCATATATTTGTTTTCTCACTGGTGAATTTTATCATTTATGCATAGGTTTTATCATATGGACTCTAAATCAGTTGTGGATATGATAGAGGCCTCGTCTAGGGTCCACTTTTCTGGGTTCCATATGGAAGGTCTGGAGCCGAGAAATATTGAGAAGCTTACAATCTCACCGGGTGCTGAAAGTGTGCATAAACAACCTTTTGTTATTGGTAAGTTTGAACATGGTTTGTTGACCTGTTAATCTTTGTTTTAGATGAAATGTTCATCAAAAGTAGTTAGTGAATACGTTTGGGTAAGAATGCTGAGAGAAACATGATGGTCACCTAAACTCATTTTTTTCTTTGAATAATGGATCTTTTCATCTAACTGTGTTTGAGACAGTAGCCTTGTATGGAAAATGTACTTTTCTTCAGAAACTATGGATAGGCACTGAACTAGTACCTGTTTGGTAATACTTAGGTTATTACATTGGTTTCTTTCTATTATATTATGGCTTCTTTTTCTTTTTTTCTTTCGGAATTTCAATTTTTTCTAACTTGGCCTGTTATTTTGTGGTTCAGGAGTTGCTGGGGGGGCAGCATCTGGTAAGACTACAGTCTGCGATATGATTATTCAGCAACTTCATGATCAGCGTGTAGTATTAGTTAACCAGGTATTTTTTAAAAAAATATTTTCTGAGTTCCAAATCTGGATTTTTTAAAGGGTTTCTTCCTGTCTTAAATTGGTCATGCATTAAAGGGATTATGAATTTGTTGGTTGATTTTCTTGATTTTCATACAAGGAAAACAGAGGGAGGGTTGGTTCTTGTTAATTGTACATCATTTGGGAAGGAAATTGTTCAGCATTTTGATCTGGCCTCTTCTTAAGCTCTATTTTCTGCACTACTAAAAACAATTGGTCTCCTATTGGTTAGAGTTTTAACACGAACAATGTGCCAGGATTCCTTTTATCACAATCTCACTGAAGAGGAACTTGCTAGGGTTCATGAATACAACTTTGACCATCCTGGTGAGAATATTTCTATACCAGAGAAAATATGAAGAAAACCATGACATGCTGAATTACTATGCTTATTATTTGACACAAAGTCATACTCTCTCTCTTTCATCTCTACTTAATTGTTCAACATGTGTTTTCTATGTTTTGTCTTGGTAACAAGGACAGTCTCTGAAGTCTGTCTTGTTCTGAATATCAAGGCATCTGATAATATGCACATCTGCTAAATTTGGAAATAATTGATATGTTTTGAGAGAATTTGAGTATTATTAGCGTGCTTTTTATGCACAGGACATTTGATTCCTCTTTATCTTTGCTTTGAATTTTATTGATGTAATATTGTTCCTTTCTGCAGATGCATTTGACACAGAGAAATTATTAGATTCTATGGAGAACTTGAGGCATGACCGAGCAGTAGATATTCCAAACTATGATTTCAGGAGTTATAAAAATAATGTTTTTCCTGCAAGAAGGGTAAGGTCTCACAGTGTTTGAATGTGACATGGAACCGTGGTTATGATATCTTGGATTTGGGCACCTCTTTGTTGAAGGATTCCCCAAAATATTATTTTCAACATGGTGCTCCGACTCCAATTTTTAAATCATGTTTTACCTTCTTAAGTAGCTAGAATTCAATTATAATTGTTTATACGTACAATGTCCCAGATTTTAACGTCTTCTAATAAATGGTAGACATATAGGATCTACTCAAACTTATAACGGTAGACATGTCTTCCCACAGCCCTTAGTTAAGTATCTAGAATTCAATTATAATTTCAGCTCATATTTGTTGTTTTGGACGTGTAGAAATTCTCATGGTTATAATGTTTCTGCAGGTTAATCCTTCAGATGTTATAATTTTGGAAGGGATTCTCATTTTTCATGATCCTCGTGTCAGAGAGTTGATGAACATAAAAATATTTGTTGATACAGGTTAAATAATTAAACTTTATCTCAGTTCATTGGCTGGTCACTTCCATTTGCAAGTTGCATATATCTAGCATCAAATCTTCTTTTTAATGATTGTTAACCTAAGTTCTCTTGTACACAATAAACCGATGAACTGATTCTATGATTGTGTTGTTGTGGTTCGGTGATTAGTTTTCTGACCCCTCAATATCGTTCTTTTGAAATGTCTGTAGCTCCCTATTGTTAGGAGCATTTTAGGTTGGATGTACATCATTTTATCTGTATACATCACTTAAATTTTCAAACTGTTTGGTAGCAGCGATATAGTTAATGTGGCTTACTGCTAAGGGGAAAAAACCAGTGATAAGTAATTTATTATTCATAGCTGAAAGCTTTCAAGTGAATAATTTGCAGATATTAGGGAATACATTGTTTATGTTGCCTAATTGGTGTTACCGAGTTGAGCAGTTACTTCACATTGTAAAATTTTCAGTGCAGATGCTGATGTACGTCTGGCAAGAAGAATAAGGCGTGATACTGTTGAGAAGGGCAGAGATATAGGTGCAGTCCTTGATCAGGTATGACTATTCTTCACCACCTACACGGTCATGATAAATTTGTTTCCTTGGTGCAAGGAATATTGGGCACAATAATTTATGATCTTTTATATTCTAATTCACTAATGTTTCAGCTTTCTCTTCTTCGGAGTTGCTTCTTTTCTGCTGATATTTTTATGAATTTAATCTTTTATGCAGTATTCAAAATTTGTGAAGCCTGCCTTTGATGACTTTATACTTCCAACAAAAAAGTATGCAGATATTATCATTCCCCGTGGGGGAGATAATCATGTGGCAATTGATTTGATTGTTCAACATATCAGGACAAAGCTTGGCCAGCATGAACTATGTAAAATCTACCCAAACTTATATGTCATTCAATCAACTTTTCAGGTACAACATTCTTGTTTCTTTCAATTAACGAAGGGTGTAATACTTTTTATGCATGTATTGAGCCCTAATAGCTACTTGAAAAAGATCAATGCAAATTTGTTTAAAGAAGATTAATTTTTTATTTATGCAGATACGAGGCATGCATACCCTCATTCGTGATTCTCAAACTACAAAACATGACTTTGTTTTTTACGCTGATCGATTGATTCGTCTGGTGGGCATATTTCAGTTTAGATGCAATTTTATCTATGTTAATGGAATGTCCAACAGAAATGCCCTTTTGGTTTCTCAGTCATTTAAGATCTTCTCTAGGTTGTTGAACATGGGCTGGGACATCTGCCATTTACTGAAAAGCAAGTGATCACTCCAACTGGTAAGCTGATGTGACTTCTTGTTTTGGGCATTAGACGGAGTATTATTTGGGTTATCACATTGTTGTTATTTTCTGATCAAGTCATTATTACACTTTATTATGATTATGTATGTCAGATATAGTTGTCTAGATTTGTCATCTGATATCATCTGCTTCTAATGTTCTCTTGAATTGAACTTCTGCTTCCTAATAGAGTTTAGCGTGGATGATTGCAAGGTTCTTCTGTAATGTTCTAAGTTGTGCTGGCTCTTAAATTTACAGAGTTTAGCGTGGATGATTGCAAGTTGCTTCTGTAATGTTCTAAGTTATGATGGCTCTTAAATTTACTTGCTTACGCAGTGCTACTTAGTTATAATTATTAATGTTGGTATTATTGTGGATGCAGGGTCTGTATATACAGGTGTGGATTTCTGTAAAAGGTTATGTGGTGTTTCTGTTATTAGGAGGTACAACTCTGGTCTCAAATTCCATGGCTTGAATGGTTTAGAACTTTCTTGGGGATGTTTGAAGGTGGTATGTTTCTAAAGAGATAAATCATAGGAAGTGATGGTCAGAAATTGATCAGTGACGACTTTGGTGGTGGAATATTCTTTACTCTGTGGTTATGTCGTAAGAGTAAACCATAAATACTTTCTATATGCCATTGACATGCGGACTTAAAACTAATATGGTCGTAGTTTACCATGGTTAAGTGGGTGTGGTTGAGTGATTGCAATTGCTTTTCCAATAAAATTTGAATGTATCATTGTTGTTATTATTGATATATGTATCACACTCTATACATGAGCATTATTTTAAACCATTAGCTATTGATCTCTCGAAACTAAACTGATACTAGTGGTGAGAGTATGGAGAATGCATTGCGAGCATGCTGCAAAGGTATCAAGATTGGCAAGATTCTTATTCACAGAGAAGGTGACAACGGTCAGCAGGTTTGTAAACTACCTTCCAGATGCCAAAAGTTGTGTGTGTTTTGCCTCTTTTCTCACTTGATTCCTTCTTCGATAATTGAATAGCTTATTTACGAAAAATTACCACAAGACATCTCAGAGAGGCATGTATTGCTACTTGATCCAATCCTAGGCACAGGTTCGTTTCTGTTCATGGCTGACAATCATTTTCTGTTATGCATGCATGTTTTCCGGTTTTCATTTTCGAGTACCATTTGGTTCACTTTCTTGATGACTTAAGTCCCAAAGTCTACAAGCTAGTAATTTGTTTCGGACATTTTCGAGTACCATGTGGTTTAACATCCTGATAACTTTTCAACAGGCAATTCAGCTGTTCAAGCTATTTCGTTACTTGTAAAAAAGGGTGTACCGGAGTCCAACATCATATTTCTCAATCTCATATCTGTAAGTTATTGTTGGTACAAGCCGTATTGAATAGATTACCATCTTTCTAACGGCTTTCAAATAATCTCTGTTTAATCTTCAGGCACCACAGGGTGTACATGTAGTGTGCAAAAGCTTCCCAAGGGTAAAGATTGTGACGTCTGAGATTGATATCGGTTTAAATGAAGATTTCCGGGTTGTCCCTGGTATGGGTGAGTTTGGAGACCGATATTTCGGGACAGACGATGATGATGATAGCCAGCAAGTGGTGGCCCCTACGCAATTGTCCGATCAGAGCTGCTGAACTTTCAACACCCAGATTTGCTCAACCGGAGGATTCAGCCGAAGCATGGTTTAGTCATAATGAGCTTAGAAACAATTTTGACATGATCAGACCTGTATAGTTCCCATGGTTGAATTATCATTATTGTTATTTGCCTTTTGGAGTCGTCTGATGATTATACTTGAAAAGGATCAACTGCCATAGAAAACTTGTTGCAGCCTTTTCTTTTCCTTTGATGAGGGAGTTGAGTTGCAGGCAAAAATGGTTTCTGTAGAATGATGATTACATGAATGCTTATTTGTGTATTTTTATAAACGCCCTATGTTGGATTGATTGGCTGACAAAACCAGGCGAAATCCATCGGCTCTAATTACAAATTTCTATCACATAATCTTTAATTAACAAAAGGTTGACGAGATTGTAATTACTAATACGTACGTACGTCATTGGTTTGATCTAAAAATTTATTAAGCAGACTAATGAGTGCCACGTCACATTCACTACATATTATCATACTTTTACTTTTGAACATTTTAAGGCCAAGTTGATGATAATACATATGTCATTTTCACATATTATTATTGGCTTTTTAAAAATAAAGAAGACCCGAAGATATTTATGGGCCATCTAGCATTGGTGGAGATTTATGAGCTAATATCAATGGAAGACAGTCATAAAAGCTAATTATGAGCTTAAGACAAAACACTTCATATATAAACAAATCTTAATCATTCAACTAGAAGCTTTAATCTTCTTATCAAGAATTAATACGATAAAATTATTATAAAATGACATAAGAAATCAGAGTTCGATCTCAAATAATCTTATATTTTTCTTAAATTTGTAGTAATAAAGAAAAACAACGTAGTATGCATATAAGGTGATTTATTTGAGGGGATCAGTCCACTTGAGATGTCATTGTTCATAGATATATACTTCTTACATGTTTGTGATGCTTAGTTGATTCCAAATTCATGTGTCCCTACACATTAGATTCCTTACCTTGTCTCCCCAATCCTCGATTGTTTCTCACTCCTCCCTACTCCACTGGTTAAAGAAGAATGATTATAAATAACAAATTGCCCACTTGCCTTGTAATGCCTTCTCTCTTTGATTTGTTGAATCATCTTCTTTGTTTGCAATTTGATGTTGAACTTTACTTTCCCCATCTCATTCATCTATAAATGCCAAAGCTGTAATTAACTTTGGGTAACCTTAATTACTTGAGCGGATATTGATTTGATATCAACTAATGATGTATTCGACTTGGACCTACTAATAACATTATACAAGTAGAGAAACCAGATTCAAGGGAGAAGCTAAGAATGTTGTGTTAGCGGATCAATTAAAATTTTAATTTTTTTGGAGAGTTGGAATTATAAATTTTGGGTTAAAATGATTTAGATTAAATTATTTATCTTTGTGTGAGGAGCCCAAATTCCTAAATTTTAATTTATTTAAAGGTTAGAATGAATAAATTTATTTTTTTCGTGTATAAGAATTAAAACTATAATTGCACCGTTTAATCAAGGCCATGCCCCTGGGAACAGATGGATTACATCTAAAATTTTCAGCACAATAGAAGGATGAAAACCGTAATTAGACCCTACTGATTTTGATTAATAAATATGAAGGGAAAAGCATCTGTCCTTAGGATGATGGTTTATTTACATAAAAAAGAAAAGGGTTTATAATTATATCCAAAAAGGTATCCTTCTTAGCCTGATAGCTTCATTCACATTGAAAGGAACCTGAGAGAGAAGCCAATAAGCAAAGCATAAGAAGTTGAATTGGGTGCAAGTAAATCCATAAATGAATTTAATTAACTTCCAAATCTTTAGCATTACAACAGCTTGATGCTTTGCTTCAACTCAAAGCTCTACAAACTTAGTCCCATAACCCAATATAACTCTTATAACTTCAATAAACTTTTACATCTAATTTCATCACATTCATATCTTATTTATCGCTTTAATACAATAAATATTAATACTGCAATTACATAAATAAATTAACCAGCATTACATGCATTTATACGATCACTAAAATTTTAATTCCTTCTATTATAATTACTACTTCAACTACTGTTAAGAAATACTGACATGACACGCTAGAGTCATCTTCTTCCCCAAAACCCCTAAAGTTTCTTATCCTAATGGCAGTCGTCGACCTCTTTAGTTTGTGACATCACCGTTTGACATTCTCTCGATTGTCGTTGTCACTAAATACAATATCAATTGTATTCAAGAATATCATCATTTTATCAAGTCCCCGACACATTAATGGCTTCTCTCAACTAGTTATTTTATCGTTGATGGCTTGTTTATTTTCTAAAGATTTGGATGAAATGATGATGATACTCTTGAACATGGTGAGTGTTGTATTTAGTGGTGACGATGATCGGAAGAACGCCATACGATGATGACATAAGCAAAAGAAGGTCGATGATGGTCATTAATATGAGAAACTCTAGGGTTTTTTGATGAATAAAATGAATCTAACGTGTCACATCAACATTTCTTAATAGTAGTTTACGGTAGTGATAGTAATGAAAATAAATTACAAATTAAGTGATCTTATTACAAGTTTTAAAATTTATTGACCAAAATACAAGCACTCTAAAAGTTCAATGACTATTAGTTTACCTAAAATAACATATGGTAAACTTCAAATTGCATCACTCAACTCTGACCATATTCTTATTTTAATCACTAAATTTTTAAAAAATTCAATTTGATCACTCAACTTTAGCATTACTATGTTTTTTGTCTCTCTATCATTAATTATTTAACGGTGTTATAACATGAAATTTATCTTTTAAAATTTATAAAAATAACACAACACTTTCTTTTATATTTAAGAAAATACTCTTGAAATTTTCCTTCCCAAATTTTTAACCTAGCTTTTTAAACTTTCCTTTGATTTTTCGATGTTGGATCGTCTTCTTCCAAATTCTAACAGAGAGAAATTGAAAAAATAGAAGACAAGCAATATACATATTGATTTCATGATGATTTCACGATGAAAATTGTAAATCGATGTCGTTTTTCTTTGAATTTTGATTGAAATTTTGTGAATTTTAAAAAACATTTTAAGAAAATCTAAATTGATAGAGTAATATATAAGGATAAAAAAATGCGTCGATAACTTAAGTGGTAACATTGAATAATGAAGATGACGTGAGATAATGAAACTTAATTTTTTTTTAAACTTGTTGGAAAGATGATGAAATGGACAAAAGAATGAAATGGCTTCTATGTCAGCATAAAACGAAAAACATGAGTAAAAAAACATGTCATGTCACCTTGTTATTTCTGATTTAACTCACAAGTGATCACAAATGAAGCAATTAGAGAATTAAGTGATCAAATTATATTTTTTTTAAAGTTTAATGACTAGAAAAGAAATAAATCAAAATTGAGTGATGAAAAGAGTAGTTTACCACCACAAAATAACCTTTGAAAAAGCTAATAGGTTTATGTCTTAGTGACTCCATCGATCGACGACCCTGCACTCCAATTTCACCAATTAATAATCTCCACGTACTCTTCCCTCTCCTTCCACCTGAATATCTGCTCAAAATCCAACAAACATTTCACCAAATCTTCCCCTCTTCTTCCCAATACCATCTTTGTTACTTCACCATTTATATTTGAACCACAACGCACCACTTCTCTTCTCCCTTGTCTGTAATATTTCCATACCAGACAGCAAACATCAGTGTTTTTACAGGCAAAAGAGAGAAGTGGGTGTTTGTTTTTGTTTTTTTTCTTTTTCGTTTCTTCAGTTTTCTTGGTAGATTCTCAGGTAATTTATGTGTTATAGCAACAGTAAACCTGGGAAAGGCAAGAGACCATTTTTTCGAGGGGATATTTGATTGCATCCATGAGATCACCTCCCTGGCTTTGCCTAGGATGAACCAGTCTGCATACAGAGTGCAAACCACTGCTCGTCTCGCTCAATGGAGGATAGATAATCTTGCCTCTTGCACTTACCGCAAGTCAGATCCTTTCAAGATCGGCAACTGGAACTGGTCCGTCAAGTCTCATTCTTTATTTTCCTTTACAAAGATTCAAAAACAAATGAAAACTAACTTGGATAAAAGACCATGTTTTTGTTAACTCTTAACTGTTTCTCTGAGTTTCCTGGGGGTTTTTTGTTGTTTTTTGGAGCCGTGTTCTTATACCTTGCTTTATGCGGATTGAAGGCACTTGTCGGTGGAGAAGAACAGGGTTCTGTATGTTAAATTGTACCCAGAAGTATCAAATCTAACGAGAGATAATCCCCCAATTGCATCCTTCATAATCCGTGTTGTCTGCTCAGCTGGAGATCGAAAATCTTTCACTCATCCAGGTAATATTTTTTAGTACAAATTCAGATGGTTCACGGTCTTTGATGCTTAATATTTCCAATTATTTTTTCTCTGATTGTAGAAATAACAGACAAGCAGCTGAAGAGCAGTGAAGATTTCGTCTGGCCGATCGAAGTTCCTTTGACAGGGAAATTCATTATCGACGTTGAATTTCTCGATCTCAAGACTGCATCTCCGAATGTAAGACTTGGATCATGTATAGTAGTGATAGGGGTTAATAGTATCATACCTGAATTAACAGTTAAGCTTGGTGTTGATTCACAGGGTGGGGAACCATGCTCCATTTGGTCTGACGGATTAACGCATAATCAATCAAATGCAAAGGCTCTTGCATGTCTAAGTCGGATGTTAACACAAGGCATCCACACGGATATTGTCATTAATGCTTCGGATGGAAGCATCGGAGCCCATCGTGCTGTTCTTTCTGCACGGTCGCCTGTTTTCCACAGCATGTTTTCTCATAACCTGCAAGAAAAAGAATTGTCAACCATAAACATATCGGACATGTCAATTGAAGCTTGTCGGGCTTTACTGTGTTACATTTATGGAAACATCAAACAAGAAGAATTTCTGGTCCACCGGCTGGCTCTTCTCCGAGCAGCTGATAAGTATGATATCTCAGACTTGAAAGAGGCATGCCACGAGAGTCTGCTAGAAAATATCGACACAAAGAATGTCCTCGAGAGACTCCAAAATGCAGCTTTATACCAACTGCCAAAACTGAAGTCCAGTTGCATGCGATATCTTGTGAAATTCGGCAAGATATATGATATTCAAGATGATTTTAATGCTTTCATGCAATGTGCAGACAGGGAGCTGATAGCTGACATATTCCATGAAGTTCTAAATACCTGGAAAGGGTTCTAAGACTCCAACAATGATAAACAACAAAGTTAGAAGTCAATGGTACTTCGTAGCATCGATGAAGATTGTAGTGTGCAGGATCAAATTTGTAAAGATAATTCTTTTGTTCATATGGAATTCATGTATTTCATGTACATATACATATATGGAATTCATGTACATGAAATACATGCGTACATGTACATATACATATATGTATTGGTTTCCTTTGACAAGAACATACTGTTCTTGTAATCAGAATTTCAGGAATGCAACATGATTTGGCTAAAACTGTTGCATTTCTCAAGTTCCAATATAAATTTGCACTAACATAACAAAAGCAGAAAAGGTAAAATAGTTTACAAAACCAACTCAGACAAGTCAATAAGAGGACTCCATAATCCACATATCAAGTGTATGAAAAGAAAAACAAGAGCTAAAAACTCAGCACAATCATCACATGGATAGCATCATAGCAGAAAATAGAGTTTCAACGGTATGCGTGTATCTACTCACACGGCCGGTGACAATTGAATATTCTCCCTAGCATTGCTTGGAACCCTCTGAAAATGAAGATGGAGAGAGAGAAGGAAGCCGTAGATGGAATAAGAATAAGTTGGTGGAACTGGGATGGGAATTTGGAGGGAATATTATTAGGATCTTTTTTTTTTATTTTTTGCTCCTTTTATGTTGTTGATAATTACAAAATTGCAACAGGCTAACCCTTGACTCAGTCTGAGGCTCAAAAGCCCATACCATAAGAAGAAAATTTTGTAGTTCATTCATGCCAATTTCATGAACTTATCACATAAAGTTGCATAGGTGAAAAACTCATTGGTATTCGAAGTGTTTATTTATAACCCCAAAAAAGATGTTACTTTAACGCTTAAAACCCAAAATCTTTCAGGTACACCACTCATTCAATATTGAACTCAAATATCCCATTTGAAAGGGAAAATCTTGAATGCACTCCCATTAAGTAAAGCATCGGAGAGATAGAAAACATGACTCTTTTGCTCTTCAAATCTTTGATTGGCCTCACTGCTCTTTACTTCAATACCTTTCTTTTCGACTCCTTTGACGGCATCTCCATTCGAGCAATGGTTCTTCAAAACCGTAGAAATGTCAACTTCAGAAGCTCCAACAAGCTTGAAACGCTCGACAGCGGTATCCAGATGTCTTTTCCAACCATCCACTCCTAATTTGCATTCAGCTTGGGATCTTTCAAAGAGCATGTTGCCCCAGAAAAGATGTATCTGTGATCTCATCACAGCTGCTTCCTCAGGTGAAAGCTCACCCTGACTTCCTGGGAGCTCACCTTCTGCAACAGTTCCGAGTTTCTTCTTCCTCTTAGACAAATCCTCTTTCTTGATCGAGTTCGGATCTTTCCACTCATTTGCTTTCTGCTCCTCCAACTTCTCCCACATTTCTGTAGCAGCTTTCATCTTCTCTTCAGCACTGTCAAAAAGTTGAAATGTTTCGGCAGGATCCCAGGTTGAGAGATCTATTTTCTTTGCAAGTGCATAAGACCAGTTAAGTTTAGCCATTTCAAATTGCTGCTGTCCCAGTGCCAGCAGCCCTTCATAAAAGTCCGGCTTGATTAAGAGTGCTTTGGCATACTTCTCCCTGGCCAAAGAATACTTTTCCCTAACCCAATCATAAGCCACTTGAAGTTGTTCTGACACTACCTCCTTGCCAGCAGACTCGTCTAGGGGAATATGTTTCCTTGCAGCACACATATGAACATTTCCCCAATTAAAGAAGGCTAAAGAAGCCACATCTTGGAATTTGGTAGCAGCTTTGTCGAAGAGGTTTTGAGCTTCCTCACTAGTAACTGTCTCCTCGAGAGCCTCCGAACAGAGCTCCATACCAAGCTCATGCAATTCGATATGAACATCAGGGTCAATACCTACATGAGTATGGAAAAGCTGAGCAAAATCAAAAAGCCAGTCATCCATCTCAACTTCATTACACTCCGGATCTTCTGACGCCCCTACTTTTTCCTTCGAAGCTTCTTTCTCAGTCTTTTCAATTTCAGTATCAACACCTTCTGATGTGCTATCACCAAGAGACGAGTGAGACCCACTTTCATCAGCCTTGGCTCCCTCACTCTCCAAAGGCTTATCTTTCTCTTCTTCTGGTAATGGTGGCTCCTTGTCACGGACTTAATCGCTCAATAAGCCTCGTGCGGCCTTAGCTCCTTTTCGCCCCTCGCGATAGCTAAGTCAGCCTCACTCGAACTCGTGCTAGAGAAAGGATTGGCAAGGAAACAAAGAAGAAAGGAAAGAACTTAGAGAGAAAGCTTGTTGAATGCTTGAATGCTTACAACTCTTGGATGATTTACAAATGAGGATTCTACACCTATTTATAGCATCCCACCTCCTCAATGGACGGTGGAGATTGATTTGATCCTACGGTAGGGAGAGATTCTCTAGAATTCTCCATTATTTCCTACCTAACATGGAAGACTCTAGAATGCTTCTAGAATATGTACAAGTCCTGAGTGTTCTAGAATAATCTACACTATTCTATCAACCTCCAAGACCAAATGTGGACCAACATAGCCCAAAGTGTGGGGAAAAGGCCCAATTTCGTGACATTCTCCCCCACCTATTCTGGCGTCGTCCTCGTCGCCTCGTACGCTTTGAGATGTTCTTCGAACTGCCACAAGTCTTCAGCTAGCTCCCATGTTGCCTCGGACTCTGGTAGTCCTTTCCACTTGATTAAATACTCGGTACGCGGTGGGACTCCTCTCTTGCGGACCGTCCTGCTTGTGAGCACCGTTTCCACCTCTTTGTCATAAGACTTGGTTACTACGGGAGGTGCTCGATGCGAATACCCTCGGCTTGGGTCTTCCTTGTCGGCATGATATGGCTTGAGCATACTTACATGGAAGACCGGATGAATCTTAAGTGTACTTGGCAAGTCTAAGCGATAAGACACTTTTCCCACCTTGGCAAGTACTTGGAATGGTCCCTCGTATCTCCGTATTAGTCCTTTGTGAACGCTTCGGAGGGCTTTGAATTGTTGTGGCAAAAGTTTCACAAAGACTAGGTCTCCAACGGAGAACTCTCGATGTCGCCTCTTCTCGTCATTCAGCTTGCGGCTCTCAAATGCTATCGGATGCCCCTCTTGCATTAATACTCCCCCGATTGCGAAGTCGGATGCATCGGTATGCACCTCGAACGGCATGGTAAAGTCAGGTAAGGCCAAGACAGGTTCTTGGCTAACTGCTGCCTTCAGGTTCTCAAAGGCCTTCTGAAATTGTTCGGACCACTCCCATGCCTTCCCCTTCTTGAGTAGGTCCGTCAATGGTGATGCTCGCGCTGAGTAGCCCTGTATAAACCGGCGATAATAATTTACTAGACCAAGGAAGGACCTCATCTCACTTACCTTGGTCGGCGTCTCCCACTCGGTTATGGCCTTGATTTTGTTCCTGTCCATTAATAGCTTCCCGTGACCGATTACATGTCCAAGGAAGTGTACTTCCTCGGTGGCAAACGTGCACTTTTCCTTCTTGACGTACAGCTCGTTTTCTCGAAGTATCTTGAACACAATCCTCAAGTGGTCTACATGTTCTTCGATGGAATTACTGTATACCACGATATCGTCCAAGTACACCACTATGAACTGGTCCAAGTACGGTTGGAAGAGCTTGTTCATGAGCGTGCAAAACGTCACCGGTGCATTGGTTAGACCAAAGGGCATGACCAACCACTCGTACGATCCGTATCGGGTGATGCATGCAGTCTTTGGCTCGTCGCCTTCTGCTATTCGAACTTGGTAGTAGCCTTTTTGCAAGTCCATCTTCGTGTACACCTTGGCTCCTCCAAGTCTGTCAAATAAATCGGCAATCAAAGGGATCGGGTAGCGATTTTTAATGGTTACCTTGTTAAGTGCCCGGTAATCGACACACATGCGCAATGACCCATCGTGCTTCTTTTGGAAGAGTACCGGTGCGCCATACGGTGCCTTCGAAGGTCGAATCATTCCCATATCTACTAGCTCCTTGAGTTGCCTTCGAAGTTCCTCAAGTTCGGGTGGGGCCATTCGGTAGGGTGCCAGGGCAGGCGGCTTGGCACCGGGTTCCAACTCGATCTTGTGATCCACCTCACGCCTTGGGGGAAGTTTATTTGGTAACTCGGGCGGCATCACGTCCTTGTTTTCCTCTAGGACTTCACGGATGATCAATGGTAGGTCATCTGTTTTCTCGATCTCGTCATCTTCCTTTAGTATGGCCAAGTATGTAATGTCCCCTTTCTTGATGCCTTTACCAAGTTGTATGGCCGAGAGTTGTGTGCCATCTCGACCTTTCTCTTTCGGTGCCTCGACCGTGGGGATCATGCAAGGAGATCATTTCTCCAAGATACAAACAGAACTAAAGGAAGGCATAGGGATAGCGGTTACCTGTCGGAGAAAGTCTAACCCCAAAACAACTTTAAAGTCATCCATGGGAATGACAGAAAAGTTCACTTGGCCCTTCCAAGTGCCTAAGCGTAGCTCGACCCCTCGTGCCACGCCATGGAGTGGTACAGCTTGTGTGTTTACCGTCTTGAGCCATCCTGTGCTCCCAGTGTATTTTAGGCCCAAACGGTTGGCTTCGTCTTTAGACACGAAATTGTGGGTAGCTCCCGTGTCCACCATGGCTCTTTTCGACTTCTCGTTGATCACCTCTTCCACATACATGAGCCCATTACTCGATGTTGGTGTCAATGGCTTGGCCTTCAAGGCGTTTAGAACTTGGAGTGACCCCATCTCGGCTTGAGACTCTGTGTCTTGACGATCGACGATGGCAGACAATGAACCAAGTTTGGGACAGCTACTCATCGGATGTGGTCCTTTACACAAGAAGCATCCTCCTTTGGGAACGAAGGCCTTTTTCTTCTCTTCATAGTCCCTTCGGCCCGGACGTCGATCACGATCTCCCTCTTTAGTTTGTGGCCTTCGGTGATCTCGGTCTCGGTTGCCTTGGTAATTCTCCCGCCGTTCTCCCCCACCTTTGGCTGGATACTTATCTTTATTTTTCGTTGCATTGGTGTGGGAGTAGGGTTGGAAGTCGACAAGTGACTCGGCGATGGCAATGGCCTCATCAACCGTTTTAATGTCCCGACGGTGCATCTCTTGCTTGGCCCATCCTTGTAGTCCGTCAATGAAGTAGAACAAGAGATCTTCTTCGGACATATTGGGAATTTGAAGCATAAGGGTTGTGAATTCTTTCACATAGTCCCGCATGATACCCCGTTGCTTCAACTCCTGCAATTTCTTGCGAGCCTCGTAGATCACATTCTCGGGATAGAAGTGCTTCTTGAGTTCTTTCTTGAACTCATCCCACGTATCTACCCGACAAGCTCCTCGCTCAATGTCGGCATGTTTCCTACGCCACCATAACATAGCAGTATCGGAAAGATATAAGGCAGCGGTCTTTACCTTGGCGGCCTCGTCGTTAAGGCCGATTCCCTCAAAGTATTGCTCCATCCGCCATAGGTAGTTTTCGACTTCCTTGGCGTCCCTTGCCCCGTTGAACCCTTGTGGCTTGGGGCACTCGACCCTCGGGGTGGAGACATGGTTAGCGCTCCCGCTAACGGCGGCTCTCTTGCAGAGCGTCAAGTCCTCCCGCATCCCCTCGATGCTTTCACGGACGGCTTGGATCATATCCTCTAGCTGTATGAACCGAGCTTCCACCTCGTTGTTGGTCTCTTCGGCATTTCCTTTGAGTGTGTCAACTTGCTCCAAGACATGGTCCTCCAACGTCTTGAAGTCGTGCTGGACCCTTTCCAGCTTCTCGCCAAACTCTGCCACCATCGGTTCTATGGAAGTGCTCTCGCGGGCCTTACTTTGGTCCCTCTTCTTATTCTTGTTGGTGGGTGCAGCTTCTCTTCCACGTTCCTCAGCAACAATCGACTCGTTCGAATTTCCGGCCATTCCTACAATACACGTGCACGATATTGACGCCTTTACTGGCTCTGATACCAACTGTCACGGACTTAATCGCTCAATAAGCCTCGTGCGGCCTTAGCTCCTTTTCGCCCCTCGCGATAGCTAAGTCAGCCTCACTCGAACTCGTGCTAGAGAAAGGATTGGCAAGGAAACAAAGAAGAAAGGAAAGAACTTAGAGAGAAAGCTTATTGAATGCTTGAATGCTTACAACTCTTGGATGATTTACAAATGAGGATTCTACACCTATTTATAGCATCCCACCTCCTCAATGGACGGTGGAGATTGATTTGATCCTACGGTAGGGAGAGATTCTCTAGAATTCTCCATTATTTCCTACCTAACATGGAAGACTCTAGAATGCTTCTAGAATATGTACAAGTCCTGAGTGTTCTAGAATAATCTACACTATTCTATCAACCTCCAAGACCAAATGTGGACCAACATAGCCCAAAGTGTGGGGAAAAGGCCCAATTTCGTGACATCCTGCTCTGGACTCACCTCAACAATGTGTAATCTCAGCATCCCAAATCCACTGGTTTTATCTGCTTCTGGATCTGAAGGAATATGACCATCTACAGAAGATTCTTCCAACCTGAGTTCTGTCGTGCAGGTAGGAGTAACCAAATCTCCATCATTATCCTTGTATTTGATCAATACTGACTTGGACGAAGGAAATCTTTGGCTCACAATCTCTCTCAACACTTTGAAGCTACAATTAACTGGCATTTGGGAAAGCCTTATATCATGATCGTAAACAAGTTTCAAAGGCCTCTGTTGAATTGCCGCCTGCTGAACTTGCCAATGAACAGAAGATGAAATAGAATGTTCTCTCGGGCCACCCTTATTCAGATTATCAGTTGCTTTCAAAGAACCACTTGAGGGCTTTAGCACAAGTCTTGGAAACTGGGTCTTGTTATCAGTACCATTTTCAGTTGCCACGTTTATTTGGATCTTCTCCAGCTTATTATTTGGTGATCCAACTGATCCTCCTGCAGGTGAAGAGGCTTTCTTAGGCACTGGGCGAGCAGGTAAGCAAGGCCCAAGGCCAGCGATTGGGGCACCACGAACAGCAGAATCCCCGAGTGTAGCCGGAGAGGGACAGCTCTGGAGGTCTTGCTGAGCCTCCTGGCGAGGACCCAATGCAGTCCTTAATCTCCTCGCAATCTCCAAAGCATCCTTGTGATTGGGGTCATCCCCCAACAAAAGTTGCACATCCTGCATTGCCATTTCATACTTCCTAATAGCCTCAAGAGCCCTCGCCCTCCTAAGAAGAGCTCGGGAAAAGGGAGGCTGAACCTGAAGAGCCATATTACACTCTGCAATCACAGTGTCATAATCAACAGGTTTCATTTGCATCAAGCAAACAGATCGGTTGATGTGAAAGATAGCTCGGTCGGGGTGGGTTTTGGGGATAAGCTTAAGAGCATCATCATAGTGTTGAAGGGCAGCCACGTAATCCTTATTCTGAAACTTCTTATTGCCTTCTTCTTTGAGTTCATGGGCTCTTTTCAAAAATATAGATGAGTCTAAATCAACACCACCATTAGCATGTGCACTGGTGTTACTAGAATGATTATCAACGGAAACCTAGTTCGAACCACCCTTCTTTTTTCTACCACTGATTTCCCCATGTAATGAAAAGGAATATCTTTCTCTGTCAGTTAAGTCTCTCTCTCTCTCTCGAATTATATTCTTATTCTTATACAATAAACATAAAAAGTAGAAATCTTCGAAACTATAGCTGAGTTAAAGGCAATGAGAACCCAGAGATAAGATTTAAGATATAAACAGAGACAGGAAGAGAAATGGTACTTACACAAAATACTAAATAAAGCAGAGAGCTTTGGTGCTTGTTGGATTGGGTAATTGAACTGGAATAGTGGTATTTGCGAGGAAAGGCTTTGATTGAGAGATTAAGAGAGGGATAAAAGAAATGGGAAAAATGCAAGGGTTTCTGTTTTGGGTATTGGGATGTTGAACTTTGAACCCTAGAGGTAGAGGTAGAGGTAGAGGTAGAAGAAGATAAATTATCCACAAAGTTCGGGATCAGTTTGATAATTTCTTTCCTAGCCGTTTGATTAATATATCTTGGTATTGGACTATTGTCCACCTAAATGTACTGTATCCGGCTAAACTACGGAAAAAAATAAAAAAAATTAAGGTAAATTACACCGACGACTAAATATGTTCATATTTTAATTTGTTCATCGATCTTTTAATTTTGTTAATATTATCAGGGGTAATGTGGCTTTAAAACTTGGTCTAATTATTAGGTGTATTTTTTCCTCCTGCAAGGTGTGTCTTTGAGAGTGGCAATAGGGTCATCAACCCAGATTTATATGTTTATAGTAGGTACTTTTTTCATTTGAATACAGTTCATATTTATGTATATAAACACAGTTGTTTTAACATTTTTGTTACTGCTTTTATCAATATACCATAGATTTCCTTTTCTGTTCATGAATGTACTATTTGTAGCTTTCATTAATGTATGTATTAGAATTGAACCCATGGGCCATGGCCATGACCATGCCCATTCATGATGCATACATGCTTTAACTGACTAATCAAATTTTGCAGATACATGTGATGCAACTACAGCTGATGTTACAGTCATTTCATCACAGCTCACTTAACTAATAGCTAGTGTTAATTACTAAACAAAGACTTTATCATCTTTTAGCTTTTATGCGTAAGATTAAATCAGAATCAAAATTTGATATGTACAATCGAATAAAATTAAAATTTATATATTTTGTGAGATCCAAGGACTCTCCCAAAAATCTACCTCCTGCACCATGGAAACTACCTCTCGTAGGACACTTGCACCTTTTACGTTTCTCTCTTCCCGTCGACGCTTGACGGAATTAGCCAAAAGGCCTGGTCCCGTGACGTGCCTACAACTCGGTGAACTATCATCTCTCACATGTTGTTTCTTCTTCTCCGGAGGCTGCTAAACAAGTGCTGAAGACACATGATATCAATTATAATATAATTGTAAAATTTAATAATAATATTTCCTACATTTAAAAATAATTATTAGAGCGCATTTGATCAATTGGTTAAACTGTTCATTTTTATTCTTTCGTATTTTTTCAGATGATAGATTTTAGACCTACTAAAAGCTAAATAGATAAAAAAAACATCTAAAAACATTACAACAATATAACATTAGAAGGAACCGGTAAAAGGTTTCTGATTATGGACATAAAAAAAATCAAGATGGAGATTTTACACAAGTAATTTTACACAAACGGTCCAAGACTTTGTAGCATATGCCAAAAAGGTTCTATTTTTCCATTATTTAGTGCATTAATCCCAACTTCTCTTTTGAGGAATGAGAGATTTTCCATTTTATTATTACCAGCTGACAGTGCATTATATTTGAAAACGACAGTTTTGACAGGCAAGCAGGTATCAAGATCTGAAACCTGCATAAATTAACAAGAAATGAAATTTTTTCTGCAATACTTGATGAGATTCCTATTAGTCTTGTATAGCTTTACCATGGATAACTTACTCCCATTGTCCTTCACCTTCCTTGTGTTCATTTTCATGGTGTTCAAGCTACGGATGAGATCCAAAATCAATGACTCCAAAAAATCTACCACCTTCACCATGGAAACTACCTATTATCGGCCACTTGCACCATTTAATTTTCTGTCTTCCCCATCAACGCTTGGCGGAATTAGCCAAAAGGCATGGTCCCGTGATGCACCTACAACTCGGTGAATTACTGCACGTTGTCGTTTCTTCTCCAGAGGCTGCTAGAGAAGTGTTGAAAACACATGATATCAACTTTGCTAATAGGCCCTTTTGCCTTGTTGCAGATATCATATGGTATAATTTTTCAGATATTGCTTTTGCACCATATGGAGCCTACTGGAGGCAGCTTCGGAAAGTTTGCGCATTGGAGTTGCTAAGTACAAAACGTGTACAATCGTTCCGATCGATCAGAGAAGAGCAGGTTTCAAGTTTTATTAGGTCCATATCCTCCAATACAGGTTTGGAAATCAACCTTGGAGAAATGTTATACAACTTATCATACGGTATCACTTTAAGATCCGCTTTGTCCGGAAGATGTAATCAACATGAAGCTTTCATTTCAATTGTGAGAAAAGTTTTGGAAGCTTTGGATGGTTTTAGTATTGTTGATCTGTTTCCTTCCGTTAAAGTGCTTCCTGTGATCAGTGGTATGAGAACAAAACTTGAGAGGCTTCACCATGATTTAGATGTGATGCTTGAATGCATCATTGAAGAACATAGAGCTAGCAATGCAAATTTGAAGGACAGTGTTGATGTAGCAGATGATCTAGTTGATGTTCTTTTGAATCTTCAGGATCAAGGAGGCCTTGAATTTCCCTTAACGAATGACAACATCAAAGCTGTTCTCCTGGTTAGTGGTTTTGCACTTCAAGCTTGTTCATTTATTTAGTTGTACAAAGTTGTTTTGTACTTTAGCTCTAATTTGAACTGGTTTTCAGGACATGCTCATGGCTGGAACCAAGACATCTTCAACTACGGCAGATTGGGCAATGTCGGAAATGATGAAAAATCCTAGAATCTTGGAAAAAGCACAAGTCGAGGTGAGGCGAGTCTATGATGAAACTAAGGACGTCAACGAATCAAAGTTTCACGAATTGAATTAAAGTTAGTTATCAAGGAAACTCTAAGATTACACCCTCCTCTGACTTTGCTACTTCCAAGAGAAAGCACCGAGAGATGTGAGCTTAATGGATTTGAGATACCAGCCAAGACCAAAGTGATTATTAATGCTTGGGCAATGGGAAGAGATTCCAACTACTGGAACGAAGCCGACCGGTTCAATCCCGAGAGATGCATTGATAGTTCAGTGGACTATAAAGGAACTAACTTCGAATATATTCCCTTTGGTGCTGGAAGGAGGATATGTCCTGGCAAGTCATATGGTATGGCTGTTGTTAAACTTGCACAATTACTGTACCATTTTGACTGGAAACTCCCTAATGGAATGCAAACTGAAGATCTGGACATGGCTGAAGCCTCTGGTGTTAGTATTAGAAGAAAAAGAGATCTGCACCTGATTCCCATTCCTTACTATCCACCGTGTGTTCAGTAGTTAGATTATATAAAACAGAGATGATCTATTTGTAAAGCATGTGAAAAGATTGTTGAATCACATTTCACATGCTTCCTATCCCTAATGTATGTTTAAATAATGATTCCCTTTTATTGTACCCTGTGGTTGTAGCAAGTTCAAATGATCAGGTAAGTGTCATGTTATTCAAATTGCATTTTAGTTAGACCAAGCGCCAATAGGCAGTACAATAAGAAGAGAAACAATAATTTGGAAATTCAGATTTGTTTATGTTGATTCAAGCAGTTCCTTATTCCTCTTCATCTTCCTCGTCATCGATTCCGACCCAGTTTGTGAAAGCAAAATGAAACTCCTTGAAACTCACCGATCCATTTTGATCCCAGTCCATTTCTTCTGCAACCACACAAATACACTTATATCAGCCTTAACCTTTGTATGGACTTAAATGCACATATGGTACGGACGTGGTTTTGAGTTTGTGTATGTATATGCAGTTTTTGTTATAGTGTAACAGAGCTAACCAAATCTTTTCATGGCTATTTTCCCAGCCGAACGATCCCCGGATTCATTGATGGCGTGAACCATCTCATTATTGCTGACGAAACCATCCCTGTTCTTGTCTAAGAACACGAATGCGTCAACAAAAGTTTCGAATGTGGCCTCCAAATTCGGCATTCCAATTCGCAATTTCTGACAAGGTCATGGAAGACCAAGCTAACAGACGACAAACACAGTTGCAGATAAAGTGAAAATCAAGTTTTGTGTGAAGGATACAGATTCATGTCCATTAGCATTGTCCTTGAGAAGATAGACAAGGCAAAGAAGTACAATGAACTCATTGAATTTGATTCCCATATCCTGATTGATATCGCAGGCGTTGAAGAGATCGGTTATCTCCTCCTCTGTGAAAGAAACTTGAAGCTGTTGGACACATTTTTTTAGCTCTTCGTGGTCAATTGCACCATTCATATCCTCATCTACAAAGAAACACAACCAACAAAGATATGTCTCAGTTCAGACAGATAGAAAATGGATTGTGTTTCTGCAGGGGACACGATCATTAGAAATACTTATCTGCTAATTGTAGAACATTTAGTTAGCAGGAGAAGAAAAGGGTATACCAAACTGCTGAAAAACAGCTTTGCATTTCCTTAAGCTCTCATCGATTTTCGGGAATTTTAAAATAACGGTGTTAAAGGATTTAACTGCAGTTCCTACAGATGCTCTTCGCTTCATAGCTTAGACCATTTTAGCTTCTAGTTTTGTTTCAGATGATGTATCATCTTCCGTTTCACCTCCCATTTCCAACTACTAGTGGGACGAAGAAGACAGCTACGTGTTTGTATGCCATAAAAGAAGAAAACATTAGAAGTTAAACAATACGAGTGAAATGCAAAAGGTTAAAAAAGAAAGAAAGCGGGTGCAGTCACCAGGAAGAGGGAGGGAATTGAAAAGCAAATCCCCCTAAAAACAAATGGAAAATGCCGGAATTCAACCACCTTTGAGCTTCCAAATGGAAACAAGAAAACCAAGTTAAGAATCTGAATTGTGAGGAGAGAAAAGAGGAAGAAGAAGAAAGGAGGAAAGACAAAATTAAGGGTTGATGAAGAGGGGGGTTGATTTTGTCCATGTTGATCTGATTTGGAAAGGCACGGTTTATGGTGAACCCACCACGTATTTGGTTTCCTGGAGCCTCTTCTTTCATCTGTTACATTGTTGAGTTTGGGTTTCTTGCAATTAACTGAATTATATATGCATCGACTTTTTCCACAAAACAGCAACTATTTGTTTTGTCAGCGATTCAACTAAACTGTTTAACTCGTTACAAATCATATTCTAAAGTGGGTGTTTCCAGACTTGCAGCAGCTAAAACCATGTTGCAATACTCAGCCTCGAGCTTCACAAAAGCTCACAAACCATTTTGGAGGACAAAACACATCCCATTGCAACCCCAAATATGAATCCAAATCCATAACCAATCGCAACAACTTTCCACCGCCAAATTCAAGCTTTGAGCCACCGTCTCTGTGGGCATTCATCCATGGTTCAGGTGATGGAATAATAGTCTAAATCTTTACCATTTTAACCTCCAACCCTTTAAAAACTATAGCAATGGAATAATCGTACCAGCAACTTCTTTTCCCCACGTATCTAACGGCTTTAAAATTTCTTATGTTGGTTGGCAAAGAACCAAAAGTCAAAAGGTGTAACACTAAAAATTAAAACAAAAGCTTAGTGCCTAAAAATTAAATTATTTTTAAATTTAACGACAAAATCGATTCGTAAACTAAAGTTTAAGAAAAAGAAAACAATCATGTATCATGTCGATTTAACAATTCAATGTCCTAAATGAACTCAAAACTAAAGTTCAGTATTAAAATTTAAATAAGTTTAATGATAAAATCAATAATATCACTGCAGTTTATCCTCAAAATAAAGTTCAATTGATAACACTAATAATAAACTTCCATTCAATTTGAATATATAAAGTTTTACTATTCGCAGTTATAATTTAAAAGTCCAATTGATAACATATATTCAAATTTAATAGAAGTTAACTAAAATTACTATCAATTATATATATTTTTTTAAAAATCAAACAAATACAAGAATTAAATTCCTCGAATTAAAAGTAGATGGACTGAGCATAATTAGAAATGCGGCAGATTGCCCCCATCATGTTTCAAAGCACTATCCCACTATATTGCTTCCCCCCCCCCCCATTTTGGGTAAATGATGCAATGTATTTTCTACATTGAATCCTGTGGAATATGTAACTAACTGCCCAGTCTTTTCAAATGCAAAGCTGGAATGGGATCTTAATATATACAGCAAAATATAAAATTAAATAAGGAAACAACAATGAACAAAACCTGCAACCCAGAAACCTTGACGCACTGTGCTCGTATATAAATTTTGTGGCGAAAACTCTTATATCACGCACGTTAAGCAATGGCCAAAGCAGCAGTAGAGTAACTACAAGTTGGTTTGCCTCTTTCATGCAAATTTGATTGTGTCGTGAAAACCAAATATCCGGTTTTGCACCCTGTGTCGTTCTATAACTCGGCTCCTACCCCTTCAAGAGCAGCTGCCATTGAAGCAGATGCCTCTTCAAGTGTTCGCTTCTTTTGGACTGCGTTGAAGGCTTCAAGAATATCTCCTTCCTGCCATTCATCGAAATCATCCATTCCCATACCGCACTCCAAACCAGCATTTACCTGTCAGATAAGAAATTCTCATATAATCACAACTAATATTGAAACCAAGAAGAATTCCACATCCCCTGAGTAGATCAAGATCAATACTTGAATCATTTATCAACCAGATAAAATTAGTATGAAAGCTGAAAATATTAACGCTGATATCGCCATTTCACATTATTTTTATTTTTTATTTTTTATAAGGGAGGTCTCATAAAAAAAAAACCCTTTATATCCGTCGAAATACCAAAAAGGTATCTCAACGAACATTAGAAGGAGAAAAAGAGTACCTCAAAATTTTATTAAATAAAACCTTAGTACAGCCTAGATTCAAAATAAAACACCCAAGTACAGCATAGAATACAGGCAGCCAAGCTAGGAACAAATACCAACTCAACAACGAAGACAAACAACAAAACCAAACATTTCGCATGATAATTGACCCAGTGTCTCTGGGAGAAGCATCTCTTAACATGACCTAGAAGGATAAGACCAGAATCCGACTTTCCCAAATATTAAACATTCTGGTTGTGAAGGCAAAACACTTTCAACCCACAAGCCAATAAATGACTAAAATGAATTTCCAACCTAAGTTCCTTCTATCACTCAAATTGCATTCGAGAACAATTGGCTTCTATGAAAATTGTCAATGCAGGTTCCTATCTTTACAAAATTTGAATTGTCAAAGATGGAAACAAGTACAATCATAGAATTCAATATTTTGTTCATCCCACTGCTTATCTAAATTTAAATTACTAATCAAATATATACCAATCTCTGATCTAATTATCCAACATGACAACTTCTGGTTGTGGATCACTTTATATGCAATTCGATATGTTATTTTGATTTTGTTTCCATCTTTATGTCACACGACTAGGCAGAATATAAACCCATCAAATCCTCCCAAGTATAATTATAGGATAATTTACACATCTCTAATACCCAATATATGAAAAAATCTAGGGAAAGTTTACTGGAAGAGCATGCATTTAGGTTTCACATTAAAGAGGGCTAAGAATGGAGAATGCGAAGAAAGAAACATTACTGGAAATCAACACCATACCTCTTTAACAACTTCCTTAACCCTTCGCAATGAATCAAGAACACCAACATGGACTGTGCGACCATTTCGAATGACACGGATGCCACAACCATTCACCACCTTTCCCTCTGTTACCATACATCCAGCAACACGACCACTGCCACTACTGAAAACAGCCCGAACCTCTGCAGAGCCAATTGGTACTTTTTCCTGTCAAGAGAGAAGCAGTACATGTCAATTCCAAATATTTAAAGCAGAAATCTTAAACATACTGACGGAAAAGAAAGTACTTGACCCAAGAAGTTAAAACCTCTAAGTTCTCAGTTTACTACAGATCATTAAACTAAATCCACTGTTTAAAGGAGTGATGAGAGACAAGAAGAGCAATGTAAAAGAAACAAAAACATCAAAAATTAAAAGTACAATAGAGAAGGACCAATGCCTCAGCATACTTCTATGCACATTCAACCAATACAGGTAGAAGACAATGATCAAGGTAACGAGGAAAAATGACTACCAGGGATTTGAAGAGATACCCGTAGAAAGAAGTATACCAAAAGCATGCAAATAGCTGATATAGACAGTTAGGATTAAAGGCTTAATCAGTAAGATTTGGGTTTCCCTCCATGCCCCTTTCTTTTCATTTTCTACTCCTCCAAACAAGGGCCAGGCTTGATCAATAAGATATATCCATATACATTTTGACCTGGGAGCCAAATAGAATACCAGAGAGCGTCACTTAGGAACACCCCCCCGGGCGAAAGAAATACTAATAAATAGATAAAAATATAAATACTTGAAACATTAAACTAACCTCAACAGGCTCGAGAAGTCCTTCCATTGCATTCCTTACATCGTCAACAAGTTCGTAGATAATTCTATATAGGCGAACCTCAACACCTTTATTTTCTGCATAGCTTTTGACCGAACCTAGTGTCTCCACAATAAATCCGAAAATAATGGCTTTGCTAGCAACTGCAAGATCGACATCACTGGTGCTTACATCTCCTGTTGCTTCCAAGAGAAACTTCAAAGTGACATTGTATTGTGGGAGCACCTGCAATGCTTGTCTGACAGCCTCTATGGATCCCTAATTGTGGAAAACAAACACAGTTCGACAAATTATAATGGTCACTGGAAACAGATAGAAAAGGTCAACAAGAATGTGTGGGGATTTTCATTTCTTTTTACGGAATCAGTACTCTGAAAAAGCATCATGCAGTAAAATAAGTGAATAACATGTAAGAAATGCACCACCAAGACAAGTTCTTTTTCCAAAAAAAAAAACATATAGCAGTTCCTTTTTTCTGGTATAATAATGATACAACTTCATTGTTTGAATTCCAATGTTTGGCCCGTATAATTCAATTGTCTTATAATATGTGTCCCTATGCTTGCTATCCTCAGCTTTTAGGTAACCATCATGGAGAAGGAAACTCTATTTTGGCACCATATCAGTGATTCAGTATCATGCAGTTCACGTGCACCCAACATCCCAATAACCCTTTATAACATGTTAAGTCACATAAAACAGATGACTTATAATCCATATTTGCATCCTCACACAAAAATTGATATAACTATTACATATACCAAGAGCCCTTTTTGTTTCATTCTCTTACCCCTTTTCACTTGAACAAAAGGATGAGATCTGACCAATAACCTGATAGCATCAGTATAATCATGTACTCAATAGAGCCATGTCCATAAGCATTTTCAAATTTCATTATACTCAAATTAACAATATTATGAGCGATATGACCTTGCATATTGTTTCATTTGCGCAAATCTGATGTACGTACCTGTAAATCAACCTTCAAGATAATATTTAGCTGGTGCAAGTCTAACCCAGAAAGCTTTCCAGCTGACACCGCAGAAGCTAAAGAAGAAAGAGTAACCTTTCCATCCCCAGACTTGGCTGACATACGTTCATTTCGCAACAACTCTGCACATGCCTCTGCCTTTTCACGTGCAACATCAAGGGAATCAACAACCTCAAATTCATCACCAGCAACTGGAACATTATTCAAACCAATGACCTGTAGAAATACACACCAGATCTCTTAGGGGAAACTCTAGTCCTATAGTGTTGCTATAAAAATTAGACTAACAAAGCCAATGAATGGATACTATGGCACAGAAATTCAACAGAATGCTTCAACGTACGTGTACTCCTTGTTAATTTAAAAACAGTATATTCTGCATGTTATTAACTCAGAAAAGCCAGTTAATGAATATTATACACCAAATAGTAGAGCACCGGATCTATTACACCATCCAGTACAAAAGGACTCATGAATCTGTGAATCTAGCAATTTTAAAATAAGAACCAACACGGGTTTTCCTCAAAGAAAAGAAGGGTAAGGTGATCTTGGCAGTTTACTGTTAAACAATTATGATTTGTCTGTTGCTGTCCAGAATACCTCTAAACAGAAAAATCTGAAGTTAATTCTATTAGTTATCAACTAAAATTGATGTTCAAATCAGTGTCATCAATGAACAAAAATTATGTAAATTGGGAGTGCTTCCATGAACAATTTTGCCCATCTTACTTTCCATGTTATACAAAATACAACCATAGAGAAAGTACATTTACCTAGATCTACTAGAAATGTAATCTTTTCTACCTAAACAGAAATAGTTAATCTTAATCAAGGGATTACATAAACGATGTCATTAGCAGATTCATGTGACAGTCTCATTAGGAGAAAACCAGCCTCTATTGGTTGGTCTCCTCCCCCTGAAGGCTATTTTAAGCTAAATGTGGATGGTGCGGTTAATAAAGATTGGGTTTATTGAGGGATTCAAGCAGCAAAAAGTTAGGGTCATTCTCACTGCCTTGTGGTCCAGCTCTGACTGAATTAAAGGCAATCATAGAGGGTCTTCGGTTTTTCTACTCGTCAGCTTGGGCGTCTAAGGGTTGATTAATCTTGGAAACTGACTGCAGGAATGCGACTGAGTGGATAAAGAATTCTGATTCGTGTCCATCCTGTTTTGAAGCTATTATTAAGGAAATTGTGTCATGTTTTCTTCTAGAGAGGTGCTGGTGCGCCTCATTCAGAGAGGCGCAAATGGGAGGCGGATGAGTTAGCTAAGGGGATTGGGTGATGTCGGGGTCCTTAGAGTCTGTTTGGTCTGTTGTGCCTTGTTTTGAATGTATTGTTTGGCTGTTTTGGTTGTACTAAACTGGGTTATGTTATATTTCTACATAATAAAACTTGAGGTACTCTTTTCCTCCTTCCGCTGGTTGCTAGGCTATTGGTTGGTATCCTGGCAATTAAGAAGGGGTTTTTTAACGAAACCTCCAATTCTTATCAAAAAAATGTATTACAGCTTTCAGGTTAGAAGGCCCATAATCGTTAGACCCTAAGTTAATGATATTTTAAAAGGCTTGTGAGAGCCAGAGCAGACGCGAGGGAAGAGGATAGGAGATTTCCCCTATGTTGCTGTGACTCTTCATTTTTCTTGAGGTAACCATGTCCGACACATGGGTATACGGATATGACCTCCAAGGATCCTCTAAATATACATGGAAAAACTTTTTAAAAATCTACCGTACCCATCTCGGACATGTACCCGTATCTGCCACTCACACTTGGAGTCCAAGTACCATAGGATTCCTCACCTTCATCCAACACCAAATCATTTAAGTTGAGATTATTCTGCTATTTTATACATCAAATTCAACTAGGCTACAATATTATGATCACAGTAATACAAGTAGTACCACTAAAGCAACCACAGAAAAATTGAGGCAATAGATGACATTTTAAAGTTTAAGTCCCAGCTTTAGCAGCAACTATATTTACGTTGTGAATTAGCAGGGCGGTTATGGTGAAAATTTAGCATGATCGTATACTCTACAGCCTCATGATTGATGACCTCAAATAATCAAGGAAAGCAACTAATTTGTTAAGGTGATTCTGTGATTCATATTGAAGATAAAGGTGGTAGGCATGACTGAAAAGAGAGCAAAGAAAAATGTTGTTTCCATTTCTGTTGTATTGGCAGGCTCAAATATAGAGGAATTTCAACAATCTCATACTCACACTATATGTGTCACTAAATTCAAACTACAAGGGTCCAAAAGGAAATCAAGTTGCATGTCGAAATGTCATCTATTTGGCAATTAATCCAACAAAAATTCCATATATGCACTCTACTTAGAGCAACAAATTTATTAGCATGTTCATACGAAATTGAAAATACGCTCAAATATGGCAAGACAGACAGGGTAAATAAAAAGCTGAAGTGTTGAACATAATAATTTGCTAACCTGTACAGGTATGGAGGGTCCGGCCTCATCAATACGGTTTCCGCTATCATCAAACAAAGCACGCACCTGAGCATTGACATACCATATAGTAAGCAGAAGACTTTTCATGTTAGAACAAACAAGAGTTTGACTTTAGTTTACCAACCTTTCCAAAGGCTTCTCCACAAACAACTACGTCACCTCTTTTAAGGGTTCCATTCTGCACAATAAAACTAGCTACGGGTCCCTTGGACTTATCAAAACCTGCCTCGATCACAGTGCCTTTTGCATTTCGATCAGGATTAGCCTTTAACTCTTGTAACTGAAAAAATCGGGGTGAAGATCATATCCAAAGTAACAATAAGCAAGATAATCGTGCACTTATAGTTAGACGCAAAAAACTGATATATTATTTAAACGATCACCAATGATATCACCAAATACACCTAAAATCATATTGAATTTTTTATGCATTAATGAAATGTTTTTGTTTATCAAAATGTTCCGAAAGTGGTATTACTAACTGTTAGTAGAATTCCAAAAAAAGCTTTACTCCTTGAGGGAGATTTCTCGAGTTACTAGTTTATAAAGAAAAAAGATAAATGTCAAAACTATACATGAACTTTGGTAAAATGTGCAATGTGATACATAAATTTTGATTTTGTGCAATTGTACATGTGAAGTTTTGATTTGGTTCAATTTTCACAAATCGCTTATACCATTATCAATGTAAACATCACTTTATGTTTACGTGTTGCATGCACAAATAATTATATTTATCCAATATGAAAATAAATGGATGCATTTATTTATAAAACGTGTAGAATTGAATCAAAACCAAAATTTCATGTGTAAAATTGAACAAAATCAAAGTTTCGAGTGTATAATTGTTCCAAATCAAAGTTGATGTATCACATCGCACATTTGGCCAAAGTTCATGAGTAGATTTGATAATTTTCTCTAAAGAAAATGAAGTAAAGAGCAAATTCAAAATGCTTTAAATAACAGAAAGAGAAGAAAAAGGAACTATGGATGTGCTGCATGCTTGGACAGTCAAACTGATAACAAGCAAGATTATATGCGCTCGGTACAGGAAGAATTTCAAAGCAAAATGGTCAAGATACAGGAAAGCCAATAATAGTACACACCTCAGCAACTAGCATTACAGTCTCCAACAGATCATCTACATTCTGCCCTTTAAGAGCACTGATCTGTAATAGCAAGTGCAAAAATATAACCATCTACAAAGTACACAAATAAAAAAAAAAGATGCATATATGATATATCATTAAAGAATAAAACCTGAACCATAGGGATGTCACCACCCCAATCTTCTGGCATTAGACCAATTGATGAAAGCTCTTGCATGACTCTTTCTGGGTTAGCTCCATCTTTATCTATCTGTTACAGAGAAATGAATAATATTAGCTATATCTCAATACCAAACTAAGAGCACCAAAACATTCCTGTAGAGTAGACTTACTTTCTGATTTTCAGAACAGAAAGTGACCTTACAGTTAACACACCTTATTTATGGCAATGACAAATGGTACTCCAGCTGCTTTGGCATGGGCTATGGCCTCGTTTGTTTGAGGACGAATCCCATCATCAGCAGCCACCACAATGACCACAATGTCAGTAACACGTGCCCCACGAGCTCTCATTGCTCCAAAAGCCTTCAGAAACATGTAATAGGCATCATCCAACAATGCAAGCAGGTTGCATTTAAAATCTAGTATACCATATAGCATTATTGTGAAGGTTGTTAGTTGCTCAAGCAACTAAGAACATACCTAAGGAGAATGAAAAGCTATTCCTAGTTCACAAAGAGCTTTAAAGCTGAATGATCCTAGTAATCGTTTTACCTCATGCCCAGGAGTATCAAGGAAAACACATGGTTGTAACTTGCCATCTACAGTTACTGAAACTTTGTATGCTCCAATTCCTTGAGTTATACTACCTGCTTCTGCATCAGCAATCTACAGATATCAAGCAATCTGGTTTCAGTTTGAAAATGAAAGTGTTTTGCTAGTTATTAACTGCATGAAGATTTGGGTATTGATTGACCAAATTATCAATTATTTTATGCAGAGAATCATTCTATCACTTCTCACCACTGTGAAATGTGGCCGGGGTGGGGGGGACGGGGAGAGAGAAAATTAAGCTTTATGACCTGAAAGTTCCTATTAATTTCAAATGAAAATATAAACAAGGAGCATTAGGCTAATCAAGCTTCCACGCACCTTGCTTTTACGAATATAATCCAGAAGAGTTGTCTGTCAGAAAAAAAAATAACCAAAATACAAATTAGTAAGATCAAGTGTTTAAGATAAGTTTCTTACTTCTTAAATTCAAATTGACATAAAAGAACAGGAGAAATTCTATTCACAAAAGGTTACATCTAACCTTCCCATGGTCAACATGACCCATTATAGTGAGAACAGGAGGTCTGTCTTGTAGCTTGTCTAGGTCATCTTCATCGAAAATTTCCTTCTTTTTTGCCATTTCTTCTACCTTAACAGGGTCAGCATCTATGACTTCAACCTCGTACTCCTTACACACCATCTTAACAATGTCTTTGTCCAAAGTTTGCACTCCATCTGGTTTAATCCCCTTGGAGTACAGAGATCCAAGGATTTCCCCCTCACCAATGGCCAAATTGTACGCTAACTCCTCTACCGACATGCCTTTTTCTCCAACTTCCAAAATCTCTACTTTAACAGGTGCTGCCTCTTTGGCAGCTTGTATTCTGGCTGCCTTCCTTCTAGCTTTACTCCATTTCCGCCCTTTCCTTGCAGTTACAGCACCAGGTATTGACACATTCAACTCTGATGTCTCCTCATCAGGAATTTCAAGATCATCATCACTAATAATGCGCCTCCTAGGTCCTCCTGGAGAAATATTTTTCTTCCGATAATCATCCTTAAACTTTCCAGGGGCAGGGCCCTTCGCTGGCTTTGTAGGAGCTAAAACAGCTTGAGCAATGACAGGGTCAACCACAGGCTTCTTTGATGCAAATTTATCAATCAGAATAGGCTTTCTTTCTTTACTTTTCCCATCTGGATCAGACTCTGACTTTCTACCTGCCCCAACATCTTTCAAGATAACCGGCTTCTTCACCACAGGAGGGTGCGCTACAGATGGCTTAGATTGTAACTTAGGTTGAGGTCTTAAAGGTGGTTGTGGAGGTCTCAAAGGCGCCGCACCACTTCCACCTTGAGACTCCACCTTCCCCTCCCCTCCTTTATTATCATTAGTATTAACCTTAGGAGACTCTTTAACAACCTTTTGCACAGTCCCAACACTATCCCCTTTCCTCCACACACTTTTCAAAGTCTTAGTCTTTTTACCACTGCCCGAAACACCACCATTACCACTCAATTTGCCTTTATTCACATCGACATTAACATTTACATTTGAAGTTTCCAATTTCTCAGCTTTCTCCAATACTTCACCTAAAGACTCAATCACTTTACTCCTCTCATTCTCTTCTTTATCCCTGTCCTCACCCTCGCTCAATTCACCATTCCAAGACAAACCCTTATAGTTTTTTGCCCCTTCGGACATTAAAACCGGCTTGGGGGCAGGTTTAAGAGCAATTTCAGCATCACTATCTTTATAAGAAGAGGAAGAAGCATTATTTGCCTCAGCAACAAAATCCGTGGGTGCCACAGAGTATTTACACTTACATTTCCTACAAAAACTCCTCTTAGACAACGAAACTCTTCTAACACAAGAATAGTAAGATGACGAAACCGGTTCAGGGAAATAACTAATGAAAGAAGTAGCATTAATGGTTCTCAAATTGACAAGCGAAGCAAATGAAGAGGAAGGCATTGTTCCTACAACTATCACCGTTGTAAACCGAATATGTTCATCTGAATTAGGAGCAAAAGATGAACAGAAAAATAAACCCAGAAAAACTAAAAAGGGGGGGGGGGAGGCTTACCTCTATCTATTATCAGGGAATTGGGCAAAATGATAAATTTGTGAGGTGGAAGTTATGGGGGGACAAACGAAGCTAAAAACTGGGGTCTGCGAGTCTCGACATGTTGTGGGTAATGTCATTGTGTGGCTGATTCTCCCCCTGTCGATTTATTTCTCTTCGGGATTTTTTTGTGATAGGGCTTTTTTTCTTAATAAAAATGTAAAAATCTTACATTGATTTCGACTCACGAACCAAAACAAAAATTGGGAATTCTCTCGCATTCTTTTTATAGTTTTCTCGGGAAAATGAGTTTAGAGGTTTAAGTTAATTTGCCGGTCAATCTCAAATAAATTCTCAAGCTCTTGTTGTCTAATATTTGTTAAAATCCAGAATTAATTTCATCAAAATCAACACAAAATAAGTATTTTTAATGTATCCAATGCAACTTCTCCAGACCATTAATCGTCACTAAACAAAACCCCAAATTAAAGTTAAACTCGCATAACTTAATAGGGTTGCTTTAATTATATTATTAGTTGATGATTTAAATTTTATTTTGAACATATAATATATGTATTTAATTTTTAGTCTAGTATACCAATAATCAATTGGTTTAGAATATGGTAAGACACTAAATTATTTAAATAAAGTCAAAATTTTAAAATCTTAACGTTGTGCATAGAATCAATTTGATTGAGAAAATCGTCTCAAAATAAACTTATATACACCTATATCTTTCCTAAATGTTTTTGTTATGATGTATAACCACATTTAACATTTGTATCCGAATCCAAACAACACTTAATAAAATTTTACATGTGATTGTTTATTTCATCTGACGTAGAATCATGTCTAACAATAACATGCACTTTTTTAACGTCTTGCTTACTTCGTTAAAAGTTTCTGAGCTCAATGTAAGATATCAAAGAAACAAGAGTAGAAAGAGATGCATTCAGAGGTACAAGAGATAAATAATAATTATTTCAGGACCCAGCTCTATGATTAGGGTTTTGTGTACTTGCATGTCATGTTGAATAAAGGCATAATGACAACAACAAAAAAACTTTAATATTTGATTAAATAATTATTTTGGTTCATATTATTTTTTTTAAAATTATTTTAGTCTCAAACATTTTATTTAGGGGCAAAAAATCCTTCTATAAATGAAAACTTTTAGTTAACAAATAGTTAACACTTCAAAATAGGGGGTTTTACCCTAAAACGAAACGTCGAGGGTCAAAATGATACAGAAAAAATACTAATAAGGGTCAAAATGACTATTTGGTTAAATGTTATGAGTCTTTTTGTCCTATAATAAAATATTGATAGTCAAGATGCTCCAAAACGAATAGGGGCTAAAATAATTGTTTTAATAATTATTAAGGGCTAATTTTAATATTATACTTTTGAATAAAAACCACAAAAAATATCATATTACTTGGTTTCTAGCTGGAAACAAACAATTTCACCCATTGATTGTTGCCCCTAGAGAATCCATATCAGTTGCCAGCTTATTAGATTGACATGGGGAAATTTCTTTTCAACATTCTATAAAAGATTCAGAATATCCTCTCAATACATAGTACATACACATATTCACAATAAATAATTATTTTATATGCTTATTGGTAATTATTAAGAATGATCGTATTATCTGAATTCGATAAATTCCAACCTAATTAAATTAATTTCTTAATTTGTATCTAGGTTTGGATCATCGACGGATTCCAACACACTCTTGAGGTTCTATTTCTTTTAACTTTTCCGTGGCCTCCCATTCTTTTTCTTCATCAGATTTCTTTGGGTTTCTTTGAGGAGGATGGGTGTAGTGTGTAGCATAGCGAGTGGTGTGATGGGTCTGATTTTTGTGATAATAATTGGTCGGTGCAAATAATAATGGGTTGGGGACCTGAATGATTATTTTACGATTCAGAGGTAAATGGGCCAGTCTAAGTAGACCTCACTGCATAAATATCTCAAATGTTATTATTTACTTTAAAAATGCCATTGATTGTTTAACGGAATTAATATGATTCTGTAAATGAAACTTTATCTGATTAAAATTTTATAAGATTTAAGTATTGATGGGATAGTTTAAGAGAATAGACAGAAAAAGATTAAAATGATTGGAATATTGAAGGTGGTTCACAACTTGAACCACTAGCTAATTCACTCAAATATTCCCCTTCTATTTCATACTATTAACAAGGATATATATGATTCAATGAAAACAATTATCTCTGATTCCATATAACTATAAAAATATCTATAAAATCATCATCAAATATACTATATAAATCAACCCATGATACACCACCATATTAATTTATTTTTACTCAATAATATATATTTATATTTGAATATAAACTAATATCAATTAAACTTAAAATTTAATATGAATTAAGATTAAAATACTATCACACCACACAGTTTATTTAAACATCAAATTCCTTTGCATTTCAATCGCTATCAATCCCCTTCGGAATCGATTACTAGCACAGCTTAATTGGCCAATAATTAGCTTTGTTTTGCTTTTAACACCATGGCCCCTTGTTAAAGTAATATATATGTATGCATTCCTTTTGACTTCCCTTTTTTACGCAAAACAAATTTATGCGGAAAGTCGAAACCATGACTAAAATATTTTTAAAAATCCTTAAATTAGGTCTTTTTTTTACTTCAATTATACTTAAAGGATTATATTCACTGAGGCAAAAATAAAGTGTTTAATTATAACTAAATAAAGTGCTTAGGTGGAGATTTCATGCTGTCAAATTACACATAAAAAACTAAGAGTTTATTTGAGTATAAATTAAAAAATTAATTAAAGCGGGTCAAGAGCCGTTTTCCGGGAAAATTTTCATGTCATTTTCTAATTAGCAATACAAAAATGAAAATGAAAGCCACGAGTTTAAGAACCTTTTCGCTTCTAATTCCCACAAACGAATAAAGCTAATTTGAGAACAATCATGTTGAAAGCAATCGCCATAACCACACCAACATTAGCACTATCACAAGATTATTGGGAAAGAATAAGGGTAATTCAAGATTATTGGGAGAGGTGGATGTATATTTATATTTTTCAGAATGTAAAATATTTTCAATAGCTTTTGTATATTTGAAAGGTTATGCTCTCATTATCTTTATATCCGAATAAATGTTGAACATCGATACTTAAATATAAATACTCCGAATAGCATAAGCTTGAACATGAGTATTAACCAGCAATATCAGGTAAAAATATAAGATTTGTCATAGCCTCTTGCAGCCAGTCATCGAGCTCGTCATGCTTCGTCAGTAATGAGAAAAAAATGAATAGTTGGAAATTTGGAATAATATATATGAAGGAAATGGGAAATTAATTAAGCACCTGAACAGCTTCACAGTCAATCAAGTTTTTGTGAATAGGTGAAGTGTTGTCGTCGTCTTCGTTTCTCATTACCATTTCATCTTCACATAGTTGAATGCTGTTCCTTGCGAATCTTCCTCGAACTCTGACCCTCCTGTCAGCTACTCTTTTTCGGCAAGCATACTGTGTATGTTTAAACAATGAAATTCAGTCAATGCGCACATTTCTTCTTATAGAAGAGATCATTTGTGAATCCACCGTGCGACATTGGTAGTTAAAGAGAATGCTGTTTTTTTCTAAATGTATCAAATTTGAGCAACAATGTTTGTAAAGTGTGTATGCGTTCATAGTCTATTAATAAAAAATTATGAACGAATATTACTTTGTAATCGGTGATCATCCCATACTAATAAAAAACGATGATTTGAAAGGAATAGGAAAGAAATCAGAAGAGACCTTAATTGTCTTGTTAAAATTTCTTCGATTTCTCTTCCTCAGATATCTGAGAATTCTGTCTTTCCTTTCTTCAACAGAATACCGAACAGCCTTAAGGTTATTGTCCTGCGTTGGGTTGCCTTGAACCCCCTATCAGAAAACTAAGCATTCATTTCTCTTTTCTGAAAAAAAACTAGTCATTTCTCTAATTTATGGTTTAAGATAAAATCATATACCCAGTTTTCCCCCATATTTGGTTCAACTGGCTTGATGTTCTGATGAAGAATCCTATTACATTCCTCTCCAAACTCATCACCGACATCTTGCAATGGATATCCGCCATCAATGTCAGGCAAAACAGCTGTTGGGACTGAAGGTGTAAGATTATTAGGTTCCTGTTGGAAAACATCAACCCCACCGTTGTCCAGAAACATCGGGAAACTTATTTCTTCTCCAGAGCTGGGAATAGCACCACCGATACCATCAATGCAGTTTTCTTGGGGAATTAGCAACGGATTTTGGAACTGAGAGAATGAATAATGGTGGGAGAATTCAGGAACAGAAGCCATGAAATGTAGGGTAAATTTGTTTGGATTGTGTTTTTATGATTTTGAGTGCAGGGTGGCTGTATATGTAGGGAATACGGAGCTGCACTGTTTCCCTTGCAAGTTGTTGCGGCTGTGATACTCAAGAATATTATCTTTTGAACGATGAATTTGAGTCAAATATTATTTTATGAGACGATTCATATATTCTTTTATTTCATCATTAAATTTAATTGAATAGGAACATATTTTTTACACATAAATTATTATGATATAATATATAAATAATTTAATAATCATAAATATCGGTAATGGTTTATACCATTTCTACATGATATATAGCAGTAACATTTGATAGTAAAAATTAAACAAGGATGGTTTCGTCAACAAGAATGAGATGGTTCAAGCCATCAATGAATCCGGGGATCGTTCGTCCGGGAAAATAGCCATGAAAAGATTTGGTTAGCTCTGTTACACTATGACAAAAACTACATATACATACCCAAATTCAAAACCCACATGTCCATATCATATGTGCATTTAGGTCCATACAAATGGATCGGTGAGTTTCAAGGAGTTTCTTCTTGATTTCACAAACAGGGTTGGAATCGATGACGAGGAAGACGAATAGGAATAAGGGATTGCCTGAATCAACATAGACAAATCTGAATTTCCAAATTTTGTTTCTCTTCTTATTGTACTGTCTTTTAGCACTTGGTCTAACTAAAATGCAATTTGAATAACATGACACTTACCTGATCATTTGAACTTGCTACAACCACAGGGTACAATAAAAGGGAATCGTTATTTAAACATACATTAGGGATAGGAAGCATGTGAAATGTGATTCAACAATCTTTTCACATGCTTTACAAATAGATCATCCCTATTGTATATTTTCTAACTACTGAACACACGGTGGATGGTAAGGAGTGGGAATCAGGTGCAGTTCTCTTTTTCTTCTAATACTAACACCAGAGGCTTCAGCCATGTCCAGATCTCAGTTTGCATTCCATTAGGGAGTTTCCAGTCAAAATGGTACAGTAATTGTGCAAGTTTAAGTTCAACAACAGCCATACCATATGACTTGCCAGGACATATCCTCCTTCCAGAACCAAAGGGAATATATTCGAAGTTAGTTCCTTTATAGTCCACTGAACTATCGATGAATCTCTCGGGATTGAACCGGTCGGCTTCTTTCCAGTAGTTGGAATCTCTTCCCATTGCCCAAGCATTAATAATCACTTTGGTCTTGGCTGGTATCTCAAATCCATTAAGCTCACATCTCTCGGTGCTTTCTCTTGGAAGTAGCAAAGTCAGAGGAGGGTGTAATCTTAGAGTTTCCTTTATAACTAACTTCAAGTAATTCAATTCGTGAAACTTTGATTCGTTGACGTCCTTAGTTCCGTCATAGATTCGCCTCACCTCGACTTGTGCTTTTTCCAAGATTCTAGGATTTTTCATCATTTCCGACATTGCCCAATCTGCTGTAGTTGAAGATGTCTCGGTTCCAGCCATGAGCATTGTAACCCCTCAGACCGATGCGGGTAACCCGATCCGATCTGGAGTGTTACATTAGGGCCACTGGAACGACCCACTGTAAAAATAGCGGAAAATTTTAAACTTTTCTTAAAACATGTAACGTATAAAATCATTTATTAGTATTCAGAAATAAAACAGATTTTCATACTCGTATATAAAACAAAATATAATTACATGCCCCCTAATTACATGTATCATACTCTGAAAACAACGCCGGAAGAACTCCCTTACTGATGTCGATAGCTGCACTGGTACAATTCTTTTAACCTGTAATGTTGAGTAATAGAGTGAGCTTCGGAAAGCTCAGTAATACAGAACTACCAGATGATGCTATATGACATGCAGATAAATGAGAAGCTATAATTTCCTTATTGAATCATACATATACCAGTGGGCGGAATAATCTGAGGTTCCCTTAGAAGTTCATCGAGTAAAAGCCATGAATCTCAATTCATAAGAAACCTTTCATACTATCACGTTTTCATGAGATCGAATAGGATGCCTAGTGTGTTCCATCAGTACGATAAAACCATAATAGGTACACTAATCAAATGATAGTTCAGTAAAATCCCATAAACCATACTGTAGTGGAGCTTTTTAAACTCGTATTTTAAAACCATCTTACAAAGAGTTAACCTAAGAGAACATCTTAGGGCCTGAGAGCCTACCCAAGATAGATTTCGGGGCCGTGGGGCCTATCTAAGAACACATCTTAGGGCCGCAGGGCCTACCCGAGAATAATCTCAGGGCCGTAGAGCCTACCTAAGAGTCACATTAGGTCCATAAAAATTTTCCAGCTTGATCAGAGCTGTACTTTACAAACCTGTATCTCCAAGATACAGTTTATACAATAATACAAATCCATAAGCCATCACCGTTAAGTCGGTGCATCTATAAAATAATAACCATAGATTTCAGTGTACCACATGTTAAAACAATAAAACAATTTTTCAAAATATAAGGAACATACTAGAGAATCCAATTATTTTTTAGATGCATTTTGTAGTTATCAATATGGATAACATGAACTTGTGCAATTTGATCGGATTCCAATAATAAGATCTTATTGAAGAGAATCGATTTCTAACCGATCTAATCAGACATTTCAGATTGATACTTTTAGAATTCCACTAAGTTTCTATATGCATCAGGAAAACGTTCAGGAACCTTTATACAGAATAATTCTAAATTCAGATTTATTGCAAGTGATTCCATTACCCAAACAATCAGGGGTATTCAAGAATATACTTTGAATTAATAGGATTTCAGCCCAATTGAACTAAATGAGGTATTCAAAATCTTTTCCTTCTGCGTTACTTACGTTTTCCAACATGACCGAAGTGATTTTAGATGAAAATATAGAATCGAAGATTCAAGTCATTTACAATCTATGACTATCGATCATATTATCAAACAACTCGAGTTACACAACTCCCAAACTGATGCATGTCAACAAGTCAATTCGTTATCCTTCCAGTGTATTCACTCTTTAATATCATAATGCATATCCATAGATCATCCTCATAATCATCACTGAATAAATCTTCTAACGGTCTTTATTTCATTTCCACATTTCAACAATATCAGGAAATACGGACGTACTTGATCCATGGCTCATAACCTATAAGGACAATTCATCATGTAAGTTCAACAGTGTTTCCAAACTCATCCAATCACCTATTTAATCCTCAGTCATTGATGTTACTTAGTTCGTTTAGTAAGCAAGTTTATCCCGATTACTTTAAAGTTTTCCTGATGCGATCATGCCAAGGACCAAACTTCTTCAACACATGATCACTTCATGGACATTCTACCTTGTTGATTCTAAGGGAGTCTTACCTTATTTTATTATTTTTTTACTCATTTATGCATTACATGTCACGTGAATATGTTTATCTTATTCTTAATTTTTGCTTGAATATTATATGCTATCATTTATATGTATAATATATGATATTCATGCATGACTTATTAATTCACATCTTTATATAACTTATTCAATGCATATGCATTCATAGTTAGCTCATTTGCATTATTAACATAGGTGGAATAATGCATTTATAATTATCATAGCTCAATTCCTATCTAATTATTTGTTTTCATACTTTGTCTAGGTTCATTGGATGCTAAGAAGACTAAAGGCAATTGAAGAGTTGGTTGGACAGTTCACGTCTGTCAGATTGATCTATATTTTTGAACATGTTCCAAGCATATTTGGGTGATGAAGTCTTCTTAACATTTAATCCCCTATCTCGTATCTTTCCAATTCATTTTGAATCACATCAATCCGATATCGGGAGCTTGAGATATGTCCAGATTACTGAAGACAGTGCATGCTGGAAATTAATACGGGATTTGCAACCATTCATCTCCTTCAAAGGACTTATGCATGGGAGGAATTAATGAAGACATGCATGAACGAGAAAAGAATATTAAAATGAATCAGAACATTTCTGAGGAGGTTCAATGATTCATTCAAAGGCTTTTAAATTCATCCATTCATGCATATTCATACAAGAAGCCAAATAGTCATGTTCACACAAGGGGAAGAATTTCAGCCAAGATACATTCATGAACATTCATCCATAGAAGACAAATCAACAAGTTCACACAAGGTGGGATGAATTCGGCCAAAGGATGTATTCCATTAAAAGATGAACATCCATTCATCAAAATTCATTCACCTAAGCCATGCTTTGTATCTACTTAAAGTATGAACACTCATCCATGAATGTTCAATCATTAAATCTTGTATGTGCATCCTAGACATCTCTTAGGCCTATAAATAGCTTTCCATTTCATTTGTAAGGGACCAATTCTCTTCGTTTAATCAAATATTTGTGAGAGTTTCTCTCTTTAGTTCTTAAGTGAACTTTATCGACTTATCAAGCTTATGCTTGTGGCGTCACCCCTATCTATGTCACCCTGATACTTCTGGTTCCTATCTCTTTATAGATAGTGGGTCAAAGTCCTTGTTTACCATCCCTTAAAGAAGCAATATAAAGTCTGGGTCTTTGTTCTTTAACATTGGTTCTTCTTTGAGTCTTCTTTGAGATACTACTTTTCATATTCATCTCCATCACCTTCATTCTACTTCCATTACCATACTTCATCATTTCCTTTAAACATATCACCAACTTATATATATTTTCCGCTGCCATATTTATCTTTCCATTTCATTACTTCCATTTAACTATTTTTTTAGCTTTCTTGTTTGTGCAGGATCCTTGTTGCTTTCCTAGATCGAAACAATCAAAGGTGCAACCTTGACTTCACCATCCATCCAAGTGAGGCTAGGTTGAACTGTATCATTTCCAGAATAATTCAAACGTTTCTGAATTTCAAATACACGTTGTACTTTATTTCATTTCAATTTATTCATATAATAAAGTCATTCTGGTATTCGTGGTTGATTTGACTCACGAATACCCACTTATTAGTATTGTATGCGCTCTAGAGTTGAGCTGAGCCAAGTACTTCCAGAATTATCATCGATCCAAATCTGAGAAGATGAACAAACATTCAAGTGGTGCTTATATCATTCAGGTAATGATATAGCACTAACGTTGGTTGATCACTTAAGCTGCGTTCCATAACTTTTAAGAGCAGTACAACATCCATGTTTATTTGGATTCCTTAATTAATCCAAGACATTTACTTATTCTAGGCCAATAGGGTATTTTGGTCATTTTGGTGCTCAACGTTTTTCTATTCATTTCAAAGCTTGAGTATATCCATTCATTCCTGAGCTTGGTGACATTCTTGAGTCATTTCTATTTCAGGGGTATTTTGGTCATTTTACAAATCTAGAATATTTCAATCATTTCCTTCCGTTCGGTCTTATTATTTAATTCAAACTTATCATTTATTCCAGTCCTTTCGAACAATTCTGATAAAAGAGCACCATCCAATAAATTATTCTTTAGGTATTTACTCATAACTCGGATATTTTCGGGTCAAGTGCCTTCTCGGATTTTACAAACGAAAAATCTTGAATTTTTCTTTACAAAGACAGGATCTTAATAATTAAATTCGTACTTAATCGAGTTAAGTACAAATCCTCAAAGTACTTTCTCCTTCAGGGTCAACTCTAACTATTTTACCTCTCAAGGGCATTTTCGTAATTTCTTAACCAGATAATTTCGATATTAGCTCTTAACGAAAATAATATAATATAGAGATCCTATGATTAATTGCTTCCTCGAACATTTTTTGATCTTGAAATAATTCCTTAAAAGACTTCTAGTATCTAGCATAAACCTTCTTGGGGTTAAAAACCGGTTATCCATAATTTCCAAGTAAAACTAACATTTCTTATGCACATCAATAGTTTTAGCAGATCAATAATTCTTTTCAGATTTATTAATCCACTTCCAGGGACAATTCTTGTCATTTTTCAACATAAGGGTAATTTCGTAATTTTACCTAATCGAAATATTCTCATAATTTATCATCTAAGTACCTTTAATGAGATCAATTATAATCTACATATCTATGGCTGATTCTTTTATCACTTAATTCCAGAACTTGTAATTTAATTCCAACTGTCCTTCAATTTATTATAATAGTCATCTGAGCCATATTCAATTACCTATTTTCTACCGTATTTGTCTCTAGTATAAATCTTCATTAATTACACATATGAGACCAAACATTTCAATTCATGCATTTACCAATACCAACATGTTCTATAAAGCATAAAGAGGTAGTAAAGTATTACCTCAATTTTCGTGCCATACCGATCGACCATATAAATTCCATTCGAGCGCCCTCGATCTTTAATTCAACTTCCAATAATTCCTCAAATATATAAAAATAGAAATTTCATAAAAAAACGAGGCTTAATTCCGAAAAACGGATCAAATCGAATGATAAATCAATGAAAAATAGCTTATCGAGTTCGAATTTGGCAAAACGGTCCCCAAAAACGGACTCAGGACATCAACAAAATCCAAAATTTTTACTCTTGAATTCCAGCTCACCAACTTGATTTCTAGTTTCCAATCCT